CCCCTCCCTGGACCGAGCGCAGGATGCGCGTCAGACCGCGCGCTCCGCACACGGATCGCTCGCGCGGAGCACACGCGCACGGTGACCGGCAGGTGCTCGCGTCCCGCAGGTGCGCGTGCCTCCGTCTGCGCGCGTTTCCCCGGCCCTGGCCTGGGCTCCGGCCTGTTCTGGAAGCTCACGGAAGGCAGCGGGGTCCTTTCCTGCTGGAGGCAGTTAAGAGCCCCGAGGCTCCGGAGTTAGCAGCTACTATGAAGGTTGAACGAAACAGCACGAGTGGGTGGCCCTTGTGAAGCGTCGAGCCAGCACGCTGGCACAGCCAAACAGCCACATGGAAACAGAGTGTTGAGTGTGACAGTTGTCAGGCTATGTGTGGGGAACGCATGTGCTGTTGTCCGTGTGTTTGAGGGCTGCGGGAAAGGCACACGAGCAATGGCCTGTGTGTGTAGGTGAAAGTGACTACATTCATGCATAATTAGTCACGTAGCCTTTACGGTGCTTTCGGGTACATTATTTTAGGCTGGCGATAACCTTCGAGGAGGCCCCGAAGGTAGTGGTCAGGGCATTTTCTCAGTGTGCGCCTCTGAAGAGCCCCCGCTTACCCCTAAGCCTCCACTCACCTTTTCGCTGAAGGATGCCTTCCTGGGATAGGCAGGCCCCCCGCAGGTTTAAGACACACACACCGACTGCCAAAGAGAGGAGTGACCCCCTGTGCCCTGGGATTGGCGGTACGGTCCCAGGACAGGCTCTAACCAGGGAATGTGGTCTCGCGTGGGTAATAGGCACAATGGCCGTGCTGAGGTCTGCCTAATTTCCAACTGTGCAACTTTTTGCTTTTGCCAGGAGCAAATCCAGAACCAGCTAGACCATCTGAAAAGAGTGAAAGACTTAAAGAAGAGGCGTCGGGCACAGGGGGAGCAGGCCCGAGCTGAGCTCTTGGTAAGGGAACTTGGAATTCACTGCGAATGTCGCCACTGCTGCTCACTCTGTCTCGTGTGAGGCTGGTACTTCCCTTAACGTACCCAGTCAAGTCATCCAGAACTTCTAGATGCAGGTGAAACAACCCCACATGGCAGCTGGGGACTCACCTGGAGAACCGAGGGGTTCCCACGTTTGGGAAAAGCTGAGGTTGGGACCCCTGGAGATCTGACCTATCAAAAGTGTAACCTGTTAGTTTTGTGCACATGGGGTTGATCCTTGACAACACTGATACACGTGAAATTCTTGGCCATGGTTAGCTTCCTTTGGTGCCATTCTGCTGACAGTGGCTTATGAAGTGGCCTCAGCAACTGACTGATGTCCTAATTTGTGATCGAGATGTGTGTGTGTGTGTGTGTATTTTTTAACAGCCAAAACAAAATAAACTAAAAGTACAGACTTTTTTTTTTTTTTAATATTTACTTATTTTTGAGACAGAGCACAAGCAGGGGAGGGTCACAGGGAGAGCGAGACACGGAATCAGAAGCAGGCTCCAGGCCCCAAGCTGTCAGAGCCCATTGTGGGCTCGGGGCTCGAACTCACAAACGGTGAGATCATGACCTGAGCTGAAGTTGCTTAACCGACGGAGCAAACCAGGTGCCCCCATAGACTTTCATGATATATACTTCTGTATCCACCATATAGGTGCTTGAGTAATTTTTTAAAATAGTAAATAAAATATTAGAAATTCCCTTGGGGTGCCTGGGTGGCTCCGTCGGTTAAGCGTCCGACTTTGGCTCAGGTCGTGATCTCGCAGTGTGTCGGTTTGAGCCCTGTGTCGGGCTCCGTGCCGACAGCTTGGAGCCTGGAGCCTGCTTCAGATTGTGTCTCCCTCTCTTTGCCCGTCCCTGCTCACGCTGTGTCTCTCTTTCAAAAATACATAAAACAATTAAAAAACATTTTTTTTAAGAAATTCCCTAGAGGTGCTTACATCTGAAAGGCAAGTCTTAGACTAGTAGAGTCTGGCACCATCTTGTGAAATTTTGTCAGTCCTGGACAGGGAACTTCTCAGGATGCCTTCAGACACCGCCGTTTCCTCTGCCCACACGATCCTCTGAGACCTCAGCTCCCCTTGCTTGAAAATAGTTCTGACGGATGGAGAGTGTCCTAGTGAGCCTGAGTGGACTCAAGTCACCATGCACAGCCATTGTGTCCCCTGGGGGACGGTTGTCAGAGGGGAGGAAGACCCATCTCTGAGAACCAGGACTCTTGCACATGCTTCTTGGCCCTGACACTAGCCAGTTGGGTAGATGGAGAGAGTGATACGCCCTCCCTGGACCGGTCTGCTCCTCTGTGAAATGGGCAGGCTGGCCTCGTGGTTTTTCAGCAAGGCTGGTACTGCTCTCTCCTTCCCTCCAGTGCTGTGTAGTTTAGTTGTCACTTGAGGAACTGAGTGACTGGGGAGGGGAGGGCAGAGATCCTGAATGTCCTGCAACGGGACAACAGGGTCATGCCAGGCAAACTTGTCCCCCCACCAGAGTGCCAGTGACAACCCCTTTGAGAAGCACTGAGTCAGTTGCTCTTTAAGGTCTCTTTCAGCTTTAATTTCCCATTTCTAAGATTACATTGTATCCTCTATATCTTTAAAAAAACTCAGTGTAGCTAAGGAGAGGTGTGAGCTTGTGGGAAGGATTTAAAACAAGTGTGTGAGCATCACTGTCCCACAGTGAGTGCTTAGGAAGGGCGGTTAGTCGGATGCTTCACGAAGGGATACCCTCAGGAGTCTGGCTTAGAAAGCTTCTGTAAAGGTCCAGATACTAAGTATTTTTGGCTCTGTGGGCCGCATCATCTCTGTCACAACTGCTCAACTCTTGTAACTTGACGACAGCTAAGTACAATATGTGAAAGATGGGTGTGGTTGTGTCCCAATAAAACTCTATTCCACAGGAGTAAACAAAGGGAGTTGAGCACAGAGCTTTAAGGGAGGCCTGTCATTGGGAGGTGGGGTAGAGAAGGGAGGGCGGACTGGCTTTGGCAAACAGGTCTGCACCAGGAGGGAACACACCCAGAGCCAGGGAGGGGGTAGTTGATGAACACCCCTGAAGGACAGAAAGAAGGCACGGGTGACATGGGAAGGGCCTCAGTGACGTGGCCAGGGTCATGATGCAAGGAATAAGTGTTCCAGTCCGTCCCCCGTACCTGACCCGTCACTTCCTGGCAGTCTTTCATGCCTCCCAGCCCCCTGCCAGGCAGGTATGTTCTCCTCTCTTACCTTCTGTGGCTTCTCTGTCACTGCGTGTGCTCCTCGAGAACACTGGGATGGGATGATGAGGTGGGGGGGGGGGCTGACAGTCCAGGACAAACACAAAGGGCGCTAGAAGAGAGCCTTCCCTCTCCTCAGTGCCCCTGCCTGTCCCCTGCGCAGAGCCTGACCCAGATGGAGAGGGAGAAGATTGTCTGGGAGTTTGAGCAGCTCTATCACTCCTTGAAGGAGCATGAATACCGCCTCCTGGCCCGTCTGGAGGAGCTGGACCTGGCCATCTACAACAGCATCAATGGCGCCATCACCCAGTTCTCCTGCAACATCTCCCACTTGAGTGGCCTGATTGCCCAGCTGGAGGAGAAGCAGCAGCAGCCCACCAGGGAGCTACTGCAGGTAAGCGTCAGCGCACCTGTCCACACGGCCCGCGGGGAGCTCAGTGGGTAAGGGTCCTGCGTGGGCAAGTGCTGTGATCACAGGCAAGGTTCTTGGCTTCTCTGGGCCTCAGTGACCCGATCTCCTGGTGTAAGGAGGGTTGGGCCCACATGCCACGTAAAGACCACCTCCGTGCAGTATCTTGTCATCTTAACACGCACACACGTGTGAGCACAGCCAGCAAACGGTCAGCACTGGAGCCGGGGTCATTGGCCCAAGCCGCCCTGGGAGTCAAGCCTGGGGTAGGGCCTGTGATACGGCTGGGTGGCCCCCCAACCCAGCCAGACCAGCACAGAGCTGGTGTTCGCTCCGTGCGTGTGGATCGTCTGCTCTGGGTCAGGCACTGGTCCAGGCACGGGGTGAATGGTGCAGGGGCTCTCCTGAAATTCATCTCGTGTGGAGGTCGGACAGCAAAGGAGTGAACAGCGATGGAAGAGATGTTGATAAACGCCGTTAAAAGGGAGATGATGGCCCCGGTCAAGGGTCCGCAAAGTGCTCCCCTCCTGTTTTTCTGTGGCCTGCGGGCCCAGCGTGGTTTTCACACTTGTAAGGGATTGGAAACCATCAGAATTTTATTTTGTGGAACGTGAAATTCTATAAAATTCTAACTCCGTCGTGTGCGTGCTGTTGGCACGAAGCCACACAATGCATCGTTGCTTTTCCACTGTCAGAGCAGAGGGTGCACCTGTGAGACCCACACGGCTCGCAAAAGCAGAACAACGTGCTGTGTGGCCTTTGAGAGCTAGTGTCTGACTCCTGCTTTAGGATAAGAAGGCCTAGCCTTGAACCTTAATGAGCACCGGTATTTCATTGCCAGGGAGCAAAGGAGGACTTTGCAGAGGGAACACGTGGCCAGCGTGTGTGGCAGAACGTGACCAGGAGGAGGGAGGGGGACAGCAGGGTCCCACGCAGTCGAGGGCTGACATCCACTTGGTTTAAAGCCGTGGGCACCACAGATGCTCTTCTGTAGGAACACTGGACAGTGTGGGGCAGGACCCACGTTGGGGACAGTGGTCACTGGCAGGGTGAGTATGTCGAGGAGTAAGACCATGAGGAGAGGCAAGAAAGTACTCGGAGGTGGGGTGGGGTTGTGGGGCTTTGCGGGGAGGGGATGCTTAAAGAAACGAGGTAAACAAGCAGAGTCTGCTGTAAGGATGCGGGTCGGGAACATCATTGAGGCTGTAAATCACTGCTGTCTGCCTGAGAGGGAGGGCAGAAGGGAAGGAGGACCGACGTGTGCATAGGAGTTAGTTCAGGAAGATCTTTGGGGGGACAGGAGGGTGAGGGGAGGATGCAGGCAGGGTGAGGCTGGGCAGGCGACCCTGGTGTCTCTTGTTCTCTTGACTTTGGAAAGCAGGCTCCTCTATTGTTACCGAGCAGGAGTTTGGGAAAATGTGGGCTTTGGAGAATGGGGGGAAGGTTTTAAATAATTGTTTCAGAGTCTGGGAAGACCAGGTGCTTTGTGAGACGTGGGAGGGTTACTCGGTCAGGGAACGTCAGTTTATACTGGGGCCAGTCTGCCCTGTCGTGTGACATTCTCTGAGACCACGACTGCTGGGATACAGGCCCAGGGGAAGCTGGAATTTGCGTGTATCCAGGATTAGGGCTTTATTAGGTGGAGTGGAGAGGTTTTTTTCGTTTTATTGGGAGAAAATTTACATAAGTTCATCATTTCAACCATTTCTTTTTTTTAGTTTTTTTTATTTTTAATGTGTATTTATTTTTGAGAGAGCGACAGAGTTTGAGTGGAGGACAGGCAGAGAGAGAGAAACACAGAATCTGAAGCAGGGTCCAGGCTCTGAGCTGTCAGC